AGTAAAAGGAAGTGTCCTGGCAAGGCCTTGTATTATGGCCTTAATATATGTGGAGATGTGTGATTTTGATTTATATTTTGGCTATCTGTGAAGCAAGAGAGTCTCAGAGTTTGTTTTTTTCTCCCTGAAACGGAAAACTTTTAGGAAATGGCCCAACAGTTTATAATAAACGTGAAGATGGGGCTCCTTGTTGGCCAGAGCCTCCAACAATAAGATGACTGCCTGAAGTTTGGCCAAATGTGTTGTTTCTTAGGTCTTGTCCTTTATTACGGATGTCCTGGCTAAGATGGAAAGCAGCAACATCGCCCTGAGCTCCAACATGTATGATGGTTAGCAGTGCCATTTGCATAGTCCATGTACTCCCATTGCTTTTCTTTCAGTTAGTCCCAAGTGGCTTCCCAGATAGCCAAGTGGTCTGGGGGACGGATGACATCCTCCCGCATCATGGCATCTGGCAAGGGACTGAGGACAGGGGAAGCCACCTCCTCCTGCAGGTGGAATATGCCAGAGAGCCCAGGTTTGGCTCCATCCTGTCTTAAGGAGGCCTCAGTAGCTATGCTGAGTTTCTTGTGTTGTTTCTATGACTTGAAGATTTTTTTTTTTTTTTTTGTGAGGAAGATCAGCCCTGAGCTAACATCCATGATAATCCTCCTCTTTTTGCTGAGGAAGACTGGCTCTGAGCTAACATCTATTGCCAATCCTCCTCCTTTTTTTCCCCCAAAGCCCCAGTAATAATTGTATGTAATAGTTGCACATCATCCTAGTTGCTGTATGTGGGACGCGTCCGTATGGCCAGAGAAGCGGTGCCGCGGTGCGCGCCTGGGATCTGAACCCGGGCCGTCAGCAGCGGAGCGCACGCACTAAACCTCTAAGCCACGGGGCCGGCCCTATGACCTGAGGCTTAAGAGGCAGCTGGGTGTAGAAGGTCACAGGCTCAGGGTCTGTGAGAGCCTCTATTTTCCAGAGAGCCCCGTGTGTAATTTTGTTTTAATGGAGTATATTATGAGGCTGAGAGGGGCAGTTTCTTGCATCAGAAGCCCTTGAGCAAGATCTGGAGACTCCAGGAGGCATGACAAGAGGTTGCCAGTGTCTTTAGTCAAGGAGCCCTTCAGGGCACTAACAGGAGTGCCTGTTGATTTTAATTTGAAAGTGAAATTGGTAAATAAAGAATATGTTGCCATTAGAACTCCAAAGTACTAAAAGATGTTGGACTTGTATGTACTAAATGAGTGTATCAATTGAGTCTCCTTGGAGGAGAATGTCATCAATGTAATGTCATACCTGTGCCCCTGGAAAAAAGGTGGCAGATGAGATCTTACCTGCAAAGAGTGCGATAGCAAAGCTGTTGAGGTACCCGATGGGTAGCCTGGAAAAGGTGTATTGTGTCCCTTCGAGGTGAAGGCAAACTGCAGGTGACAGGTTGTTGAAATAGGCACTGAACAGAACACGTTAGATAAATCTACAAGAACAAAATATTTAATGGTTGTTGATGGAATAGAATCAGTAATTTTAACAGTGGACATTGGGTATGGGAGCCCCAGTGGATGGCACCACAGCTGTAGTAATCCACAGGATGCCCTTTTTATCTTGTTATATAAATTCTTTAGTATATTTTAGCATATAAATTTTGGATTTCCAATTGGATCAAATTATAAAACTTTTAGTATTATATATATATATGCATATATTATTTTTTATTTTCTCCCCCCGTTAACTAGGTGTCAGCTTTTTTTGTTTTCGTTTTTAAATCAGTAAGTAATCTAGGACCAGCATTATGTCTAGGACCAGCATTATGTTTGCTAGACTGGCATTTGCTTAGGACCTAAGATTTAAAGTTCCTATTTTTTTCCTTGAGCTTGTAGCCACCTAAAGTGGCAGTCTTTTTTCCTTTGTTTCCTTCCTGTTTTAGGCTTTTGCTTCCTGAAGGCACTGTCTTTCCCTTCTTTTTCTGGCTGATAAGAGGAAAAGCTGGGAGGCTGAAAGGGCCAGGTGCCTCTAGGCAACCTCTCCCTGGGGTGGTCCCTGCCCACAGAATAATCTATCCCTTCTTCACACTCTCACTTTTTTAAAAACAAAATCTCTTAGAATGACTTGTATATCTAGACAGCCAAACTTTTCCTATTTTTTTTTTTCTTTTTGATGTTTATCTGATAAGCTTCTGGTGGCCCCAAGTGGCCTCTACTGTGAGTGGCAGCCCCATTCTCTAGGGTGTCCCAATCAACCTTAGAGGGGCTAGGGTGTACATCTAGGAGAGCAATGGTGCCATCAGCTTTATCTTTCACATTTTTTGTTTTGAGCATGAGACCCTTTGCATGCTGAGAAGCAGCACCTTTTAAGAGAGCCCACGCACATGGATTAGGTGTTTTGCATTTTTTTATTAATTGGATCACCTCTTCAGGGCTTTTGAGGGGGAACTGGAACCAGATGCTCCTTGCCTTTCCTCCCCTTTTTCATTAAACACCGAGCCACTGGTCTCCAGGGATGGGACCTCTTACACTCCACTGGGTTGAGGAACGAGTCACTCACAGCAACAGCAACAGCCAGCAAACACAGCAGAGATGCTTGTGACCTGAACAGTAACATTTGTGGGGAGCCATCATCTCCTGAGGAGGTCCTCACACAGAACCCACGAATGGCCCTCAGCACATGTGTTCAGGCGGAGTCATCTCCGACTACTCTGAGGAACAGTCAGGAATCTGACTCAGCAAAGCTCAGAAGGGAAAAGGGAAGTGCCTACAGGAGCATATAATATCCTGGAGGCTAGGTACTTTCACCTAAATGACTCAGATGGCCCCACTGCTTGTCAGTGCTACCCAGTCAGTGGATTAGACTTCCATGGCACTAGGAAGATAGTCACTCCTCATTCCCTTCAGAGGGACCTTTTTTTTTTTTTTTGTGGTGGGTAAGATTAGCCCTGAGCTAACATCTGTTGCCAATCCTCCTCGTTTTGCTGAGGAAGATTGGCCCTGGGCTAACATCTGTGTCCATCGTCCTCTACTTTATATGTGGGACGCCACCACAGCATGGTTTGATAAGTGGCACATAGGCCTGGGATCTGAACCTGTGAATCCCAGGCTGCTGAAGTGGAGCACACGAACTTAACCACTATGCCAGCACGCCGGCCCTGGAGGGAGCTTTTTGGGATGTAGCCAATCCCCCAAATTGGCTATACACCCCCAGTGGTTCTGTCTTGCACCCTGGGTGTTCCACCAATGTGGAGAAATAAGTTGAGTGCCTCCTTTAGGTTGAGAAATCACGGCAATACATGACAAAAAACAACACAATGCAGTAGCCACCGAGCAGCAAGTGCGCAAAGAACGAGGGGTGCCCTTTCAGGCAGTGGCCACTGACTGCTGGATCCGGTTAGTAAGCCAAGAGCAGTTTAAGGTCATATCATCTCCAGTTGGTGTCAAAGCACCCAGCTCACTGTGCCAACTGTGCTAAGATTTTTACCTGGGATTTGTTCTTATCAGGTATGGTAAGATACAGACATAGAAATGACTGTCATTAAGCAAGATGTTTATATTCACAGATCCCTAGAACCAGGAGGCATGGCACACCATGCCATGCAGGGCCACAGGGGGAAGGACAGTCAGGAGGCAGAGAGGGAGAGGGCAGAGCATGGCCCAGAGCCTTTATTGGGGTTTTTGTGGGAATGGGCAAGGCAGGGTAGGTACACTAAGTTTAGGATTGGATAGTTGGAATAATTTTGGTAGACTCTGGGCTATGGGGTGGTTCCTAGTTGTCTTGTACTTGGCCCTGGGGTGATTTAGGGCAGGAGTAATATTGGCTTGGTGTGTAAGACTTGGATAAAGGAGATGGTTGGGGGTGTGGACTGTGGACTGGTTGGTCTATATATCAAAGATATGCCCCCAGGGAAGTCCTTTGTTATCTCTACGAATTAGCTAGTCCTAGGAGGGGCAGTGTGGGATCAAGGCCCCAAATGCCAGAGTATCAAGAATACAGAAAATAAGAAAATACAGTCAATACATTTAATTATACCAAATGACACAGAGGGATTTCTATGAGCTATACTGAAAAAAAAAATCAAGACAGAACTCTGTATATCCCATTTTTGCAAAATAAAAATACTTCCCCATCTATGTTTATATAGGTCCATATAGAATTGTAATGTGCAAGAACACATACTTGGTTAATAAACTGGACTGTGGTGGGAGTGGTAAGAGATGGGGAGGGAGGTGCTGATGTGGGAGGAGAGGAGTTTCCATGACAACAACAGCATGCTGAACATCTCATTATGTAAAATTATGTGTCATAAAGAGATGCATGGAAGAATGGCCACCAAAATGTTAGTACTGGTTACCTTAGTGTGGTATGATTCCACATCACCATTATATTCTTTTATAAATTTTTATGTTGCTTGAATTATTTACAATGAGCATGTATATTTATATAACTAGAAAGAAGCAATGCAGTTATTTGCAGTTTGGAGGACGACCTCTTTTTTCTTAAAATAAAAAATTTCCAAATTTAATAGCATTCTCAAAGGTCATAAGCATCCTCACCAAGGGGGGAAAAAGAGTGAAAGTAAAATGGTCAGGACTTAAGAAAATCAACTATAAAGTAAACAGATGGCGGGGCTGGCCCGGTGGCTTAGCGGTTAAGTGCGTGCGCTGCGCTGCTGGCGGCCCCGGTTCGGATCCCGGGCGCACACCGACACACTGCCTCTCCGGCCATGCTGAGGCTGCGTCCCACATACAGCAACTAGAAGGATGTGCAGCTATGACACAACTATCTATTGGGGCTTTGGGGGGAAAAATAAAATTATAAAAAAAAAAAAAAAAGTAAACAGATGGAAAACCTTTGGCCTGAAAGGTCTGATGTGAGGCCTAACATTTACTTAAAAACTCAACAACTGTACACTTGGTATTCAAGCTCACAAAAATCTTTTACTAATCTCCTGCTGATAATAATTAGGAAGAAAGGGAATATAAGATAATGATAATCACTTGTGGATTACGACACAAGAAGAGTAGACAATAAAATAGAAATTTTATGACAACATTTCATGTTTAAGCCAGATTCCCTGCCAAGACATTTTCTGCTTCAATGAATGAAGTAGGACTTAGTCTCATCTTAATGCGATTCATAGAAAGGGAGTTCAAGCATGAGTACAAACTGCCATGTGATGCATTAAAATAAATATGGGCTTTTCCTCAAGTTAAAAACTTTTTGTGATGTACTTTTTGGATTGAGTCCAAAAATATTTAACATAAAGCTAGACAATGGTCAACTAAATGAATCAGTGCAAAAACCGAATACATGAGTAAGAATAAAAAATTTTGATGCTACCTTTTCAACTATTATTTTTGATGTAATCATCCTTAGTAAAATCATTCTTGAAAGTGAAAATGAACAGGGTGATGGTACAGCCAGCAGGAGAAAGTCAGTGCTGAAAACCTCCATATGCTCATCCTCTCAGACTGCATCTTATGGTTCACACAATCTGCTCAAGGTCCCACATGGGGGGAGCGCCATGACCTCTCTCCTTCTACTGAAGCAATAGGGACTGCCCCAGGCCACAGCAACTTGGATCAAGGAGACATGTTTTGACAACTATATAGAAGTCAACTGTATAGACAACCATATAGAAGTCTGTTTCAGGATTTCATGTAAATACTAACTTCATTTTAAAACATGGAGGGGAAAATCACCCAAATTCAGGGCTAATTTAGCTGTCACTGGACAGTAAAAAAAAAGTCCCATTTTAACAGTTTCATCAATAGAGACACAAAAGTACTAAGGATTGATATTCATCCTTCTTCATCACTGCTGCTCCAGGCATCTTCAAATGCTGGATTTAACTGTGATTTGTTTGTAGTCTGAAAAAAGGGGGGAAAAAAGGAAGATTCGATTATCTTATCTGATAATTTTAGGCTCACAATATAGTTATGAAATAGATGAAAAGTAATGAGATTATTTTAAAAGAAATTATATTAATTTCAAAACAAAAGTAATGTAAGAAAGAAACATCCCACATGCAACATAAAATAATGTAGCTTCATTTTAAATAGACACACCAGACTTTATCTGTTTGCTTCAAAGTAGTCACCTCACAAACACACACATACATTTTATACACACACACACACACACATGCATTATGATGCTGCTGTTGCTTAAGGCATTTCTACAACTCTTTGGAATTACCTGGAGAAGGTGACACATTAACATCCACGTGGCTACAACTGGACTTAGGTCTACAGTCCGACTTTACAGCCCAAAATATTGTTGGCAACTTTTATTGTTTGGACCTGACTTTTATAAATAAGCAAATATCTGTATATGGGGAATAATGTATTCATCAAACTTAGTAATACCATTTTTAGTCCAAAAAGTAATGTGGCTATTAAGTAGTGAGATTTATTTATTTATTTTTTTATGCCTGGCAAAGTAGTTCAGAATGGTAACATGTTTGTCATTAGCACATAGGTTTCCCTGGGGGACTTCTTAGAAAGATAACATGCATTTGGATTGTGTTTATTTAAATCAACAAAACATCATTGTATTTTTATAACTTTAGAGATGTACCTAATAAAGTTAATCAGCAATTAGAGGAATTTTAATTATTTGTTGTATTTCAAATCAATTCACTTTTTGGGGAAACTTTTTGAATGGCTACCTTCTTATTCTCTGGCAAATGACTAAAGGTCTTTAAGATGGTTTCATTTTTTTGAGTGTCTGGGCATTAGGAGCCAGGTTTGCTTTTTATTCTGCAGCTTTTACATTTGCTACAAGTTTGTTCAGACCCCAAATCCAATAATGTATTAGCACCAGGACTACTCCTAAATTATCTTAGATTTATTGCCTTTTACAACATACAGCAATATGTTATGTTAAGGGTAACCCCTACTGTATGTCTGAGAATGTTCATTTCCTTTTTGATGAACATCATGACTTAGAATCTTATAATTCAAACAATGATAAGAGTAGAAAAAGTGGGTGTTTCCAGTAAATTCCCCGAGTATTAGACAGGAGAGTTGGAAAGCAATGTATTAATTTAGGTATTCTTTATAGCTGTTAAAGCTATAGATCAGAGTCCATTACTAAACCTAATGTTGGCTACTGTCACCATTACTAAACCTGGCTGGCTACCATCATTTAGTTGAACAAACAAAAATTCCATTATACCCTAAGTGTCCAGATACAAAAACCAAACTTCAGCTAACTATTCACTTATTTCTAACAGCAGTCCATTGATTTGTAAGCGTAACATACTGAAGTCTGTTCATTTGTTCTTGCATCTGAATGTTTACTGAATTTCGTATCTTTTGGGGTTTATAATTTAACCACTAAGTTAGGTTATTTAGTGAGAGTTTATTCAAAGATATATTGTTCTTGGGGGGTGGTGATTCCTCTTCCCTACTGTATCTTTAGTTAACTCTGACTTACATATCTACCAAAAATGTCCCTGGGCAGATAAGCCACACAAAGTTCATACCTTCTAAATCCACTATGGAAGAACAATATGTAACCTATGAAACATTTTAATTCATTTGAAGACTCAACAAGAAGCAAAATTATATTTTATTGTAAATTATTGTTGCGTTGGTGAGCGAAGAAACAAAAATAATTACGTGAAAACTGAAATGCAGTTGCACATAAATTTTACTGTTTATAGTAGTAAAGGATAACAATATGAATGCATTACAGTATTATTAGAAGTACATTTTATTGCTAAAAAAGTCACAAATAAAACATCATACTTGTAGTTAAAAGCTGTAGTAAAAATGTTGTACATGAATGTGGTACACATATTACTGTTTGAGACCCACTGATCAAGTGTAACGACCATCTATTACTTCAGTTTTCTCTACAACATCTCCTCCTAGTGGACATCCTTTCTATGCTTGAACATATCCACCTCTACCTCACCAGGCCGCCTGTTCTACTGACAGATACAGTTGTAGATGTTATGGAGATAGGGAAGCATGAGTTTAGAGGGGATCTAGTCCAGGTCCAAATAATGGGAAGGAAGAACAAAACCAAACTTAATATCTACCACACATACATCTTGATAAATTCTAAATTTCTTAACTGGTGATAACTGGAAAGTCTCTATAAGTAGAATATAGGGTTGTCTGTGTCAGCCAGTGATTATACATCTATAAGAGTGATAAATAAAACAGCTATGTATTGTGCAACTCAAAATAAAGTAAGATTCTTGATGAGAGGTCAGATTTAAACTGTAACGTAGCTGCCTTATAGATCTCAGGCAGGAAAAAGTGATTAGCAGTTACACAGGCTTGCCTTGACCATGACCATGTTTTAGGAAGAGGGGGCAAAAGGAAGAGAGATTACTCAGAATATAATAAAACAGCCTGCCAATTAAATAGTAGGATTTATACTTAAAGATCATAAAACCTGTCCCTATCACCCAATGCCCTTCAGTTTCTTATAGTAGAACTGAAGTCCTCCTCTATCTTGGATATCAGAAGAAACACCCCTAGGGGTTATATCTTGTTGATGGGGAAGTAAATCTGATCTCAAGGGTAGATTTGAAAAGAAACTTAAGAACAATTTGCTTTGATGATTCTGATATTTGGAGATATAAATTTGTCCCAGATCACTAACGAACTGAGATTCAAACAGTTACCAGTATTATTATTATTTAGTTTTACCTGAAACTAAAGACTAAGTGTATGTGTATGTATGTATGTATGTGTTTTGTTTTGAACTCTGTTATGCTGCCTTTCTGGGAAACTGCAGCAGACATTTATTCGATAGTTGAGATGAAAACACTTTTAAATATGAGTTAATACACGTAAAGAATAGAGTCTTGTGCAGATAAACTTGTTTTTTTTTAAAGATTTTTATTTATTTATTTTTTTCCCCCCAAAGCCCCAGTAGATAGTTGTATGTCATAGCTGCACATCCTTCTAGTTGCTATATGTGGGACGCGGCCTCAGCATGGCCGGAGAAGTGGTGCGTTGGTGTGCGCCCAGGATCTGAACCTGGGCCGCCAGCAGCGGAGCACACGCACTTAACCGCTAAGCCACGGGGCCGGCCCCAGATAAACTTCTGTACTGGGATCTGCATCATGATCATATTCATGTTCTACCTACATTCACAGGAATCTTTCAAACTAAAGTTTTGTGAAAATAATCTTAGCACATAACATTTTGTATTAATACGAGGATGATGGCTATCTTAAAGTAAAAGCGTATAAACACTATATTTTAAAAAATAAAGTTTTATAGCTCTAAAACTTAAATATAAAGCTAATTTGTCTTTTGTGTATTTCTATTTGATTTTCTACTTGTTCAGCTTAATTTCATATATACAAAAATTCTTCTAGATGAGGAGTTCAAACTATAACTACATAATAAAGAAATAAATACACGAGTCACATACTAGCTTTATAAATTAAGCAATTTAGTTTTCTTCTAATATCCTTTCTCATAAGTCATAGTCGATTTCCTTTTATTTTTATTGTTTTCATTTGGTAAATGACTGTTATACTTCCTAACATGGCCTATAGTGTTATAACTTGGATTTAATGTGTACAGTAATTCCCAAACAGCAGGACACAGTAATTAAATAATAATGCAAAATAAATGGATGAACCAAACTATTTGACCATCTTAAGCTTTCTACAGAAGAATATTTAGTCATTTAAAGCAACTGTACACTAAAACTAATCAAAGCCATAATAACCCAAATTAGACGTGATGAAATCTGGAAGTATTTATAGAGCTTTTGGCCAGCTGCTTGAAGATTTACCATTTGCGTGTTTTTTCTCTTTCATTTGGATTAGGACCAAAAGAACATAATTCACAGGCTTTACACTGCAGTAAACCATACCAGTTGCAAATGTAGGTCTGAAACATATTTTGTCAATAGCTGCTAAACACTATCAACTACCCCAACAAAAATCATTTCCATGTGATTTTGGTCAAAGCTCTGTTTTCATAAAGGAACTAAATATATGAAAAATGTTTTTACAATTTCAAACTTTCTCTAGCACTAACTTTCTTCCATCTCCATTTAAGATGCTTTGTTTTTATTATGACTTGGGTAAGATTAATTTAAGGTGTTTCTAACTACATTATCTATATTTCCAACCTAAAAAAATAACATATATAAATATTGGTTTTTAGACATTAAACCTTTTATATCCTAGCAATTAAGATAAATGGAGATGATTAACAGTGCTTCGTAAAATAATCTTTGGTGGGAAAGATATCATGTTTACATAGCTTGACATAAAACTAAAGAAATACAGAGGCTACTACTTAAGACCAGGGATCATGTCTTATTAATCTTTGTTTACCCACCACATTTTTTTTTTTTTATTTTGGTAACACTGGTTTATAACATTGTATAAATTTCAGGTGTACATCATACTTCTATTTCTGCATGGATTACATTATGTTTTCATGTTCACCACCCAAATACTAATTACAATCCATCACCACACACATGTGCCTAATTATCCCTTTTGCCCTCCTCCCCTCCTCCCCCTCTGGTAACCACCAATCCAATCTCTGTCTGTATATTTGTTTGTTGTTGTTATTATCTACTACTTAATGAGTGAGATCATATGGTATTTGACCTTCTCCCTCTGACTTACTTCACTTTGCATAATACTCTCAATGTCCATCCATTTTTGCCGAGGAAGATTGGCCCTGAGCTAACATCTGTGCCCATCTTCCTCTACTTTATATGGGACGCCGCCACAGCGCATTACAACCGGTGCGTCACTGTGCGCTCGGGATCCGAACCTGCGAACCCCAAGCCGCCTAAGTGGAGTGCACGCACTTAACTGCTTGCACCACTGGGCCGGCCCCTACCCACCACATTTTTAAGGCTCTTATTCACACTGTCCCATTTGTACCAATTTATGTTCTAAGATAGGCACTAACATACTGCTGGTAGGAGTATAAATTGGTCAAATCTGATAGTGTGAATAAAGAGCCTTAAAAATGTCATATATGATAATTCAAGAGATAAATCTACTTCTAGGAATCTTTCCAAATCTACCAGAAATATAAACAATTTATGAATAGCTATTTACCTTGATTTGTTTATAGTGACCAAAAGAAATGTCTCCAAATAGGAAAATATTTAAGTAAATTGTGGTATATAAATGACAGAATGCTATATTATTAAAAACAATATTTAAAAATAGTTATTAATGACATAGAAAAAGGCTTATTGTACAATATTAAGTGAGAAAAGTAGGATGCCAAGTTGTATATCCAAGCATGCTACCTATGTTAAAAAAAAACACATATGCATAGGAAAAAACAAGAATGAAGCAAATCAAAATGTTAAAAGTGATTAATTCAACTTATTTTACGTTCTTTTGATATTCTTCTGAATTTTCCAAATGTGTTATAACAGGCAAATTATTTTTACAATCAGAAAATAGCTAGAAATGCTTTAAAAGTGTCTCCCATATAAGGTAAATTAATAAAACTTTTATCTTTATGATTTAGAAGTCACTGTACAATTTGTACAAATAATATTTACCTCCTCCTCATCAGGAACTGGTTCATATAAGGACGGTACCCAGGCAAGAATATTGCAGTCTCTGCTACCACTATAAAGTTCCTATAACACAGAAAGCAAAGATGTGATTGTGGGTCAGTTTAAAGCTAGTACCAATCTGAAATCAACTACATCAATTTTTAAAATGATTAATTCTTAAGTTAGATCAATTGGATTAATTCTATTTCTACTCTCCAAAGAAACTGGGCTGATGCCCTTTTTTGTTTGCATGTTTGTTTATTTAAGATGTAGTAAAGCTTTGTTTATTTAAAAACAGTATTAGACTATGTCAGAGCTTGCTAACGCATAAAAATTTTACAAAAACATTCAACAACCTAGTGGTTTTTATCAATCATAGCATCCATTTACGTCGCGTCAGAGTAGAGAAAGAAAAAAAATGAAACGAAGTTTGTCTTTCTCTGTCAATAACTGAGCTTTAATAAAGACTTCAATGAAGAAACCATATGAGTTTCTAGCTAATATAGGCCAAAAATTCACAAAAAGTTTTACTTAGCTCACAGCTGCCTACGTGGCTGTTATTCAACAGAAGAACTTTTAAGTTCCATATGCCATGCTTGTCGAGAAGTTTATTTTATAATGGGAAGCTTGGGCTGATGCAGTCTATGTAATATCTTTATGGATATGCTTTTTGTACATGGCTGAACACGTTCATTTCCCTCCCCGACAAAACCTAAGGAATATGTTATACTGGCTAGTAATGAAAACATTCCTATGGGACAGTGAAATAGATACTCTCATATACAGAGGATATGAATTGGTATAATCTTTTTGGAGAATAGAATCTCAATATATATCACAAGTTTTTGTATGCAGCGCTAAGAAGTCATGCCAAAGACACACATGAAATTCAAGGATATCATCAGTATTATATTTATAATAAAAAATAGAAATAACTATCCAAAAGTAAGGTAATGATTTATATATGGATTTATGTTGCATTCATATGATGGGATATTATACAACCACTAAATTTGCTTTTGAAGAATATTTAATGATATGGGAAAATACTCACATAGTGTCAAGAGAAAAGAGCAGGATATGAACCAAATAATCATAGTGTGAATGGAAAAAAACAACGATATAAAACACTCGGTCAATTAAAAAAAAGCTACTATGCAAAGAAGAAAGGGGTAAAAAGAAAAAAAGAACAAAATGTTAAGTGGTTGTAAAACTCTGAATGACTAAGTGGTTTTTTCCCTCACAAATATATTTTTATATTTCTGCACAATTTTTTTTTCAAATATTTATTTATTTATTATTTTTTTTTGTGAGAAAGATCAGCCCTGAGCTAACATCCATGCTAATCCTCCTCTTTTTGCTGAGGAAGACCGGCTCTGAGCCAACATCTATTGCCAATCCTCCTCCTTTTTTTTCCCCAAAGCCCCAGTAGATAGTTGTATGTCATAGTTGCACATCCTTCTAGTTGCTGTATGTGGGACGCGGCCTCAGCATGGCCGGAGAAGCGGTGCATCGGTGCGCGCCCGGGATCCGAACCCGGGCCGCCAGCATCGCAGCGCGCACACTTAACCACCAAGCCACAGGGCCGGCCCCCCCTCAAATATTTCTAACAATAAACTTTTTTTCCTGCTCTGGTATGCAATTACTTATTTTTTATTATTGTTCCTCTCAAAAACTATTTGAAGCATAGTACAATTAGTATTTTTCTAAGACAAAAGCAAGGGTTCTGGGTAAAGGGAAAATAAGATTATAAAGTAATTTACAGGAAATATAGATGTAAAAAAATTAAAGTAAATTAGATTTAGTCATACATTGTCAAATTTCCAAAATAGAACAAAATTCTATAGACTGTATGTTAAATCTAAAATATATGGTTACACTAACTGTGGATGATGCAAAGATATTTTCAGATGTTCAGTGCCCTTGAGCAATTTAGTTTCCTGAGAAAGCAAGATATATATCCAAGATAACCCGGTCAGATAAGCTTACAAGGAAATTTGAGATAAGTACTGCTACACTGATGGAGACATAAAGGAAATTCTGTAGATGTTCAAGAAAGAGGGCTTGGAAGAGACAGCACTTAAATTAGAATGATTAATAAAGACTTCACTTAAATGGAGGGATTTGAATTTTTGAATTGAGTCTTAAAGTTTTTGGGATAAGTATAGGGGTTCATTGAGAAATTAGATTAAAAAAAAAAACCCCAACAATCTCAAAGCTTACAGAAAAGTTGCAAGTACAATACAAAGAATTTTCTTTTCCTGAAACATATGCGAGTTAAGTTGCCAACATGTGATTCTATCACCCTTGAATAGTTCAGTGTATATTTCCTGTGAACAAAGACATTCTCCTAGGCCAGCCCCGGTGGTTAAGTTTGGTGTGCTCTGCTTTGGCAGACTGGGTTTGGTTCCTGGGTGCGGACCTACACCACTCATCTATCAGTGGCCATGCTGTGGTGGCAGCCCACATACAAAATAGAGGAAGACTGGCAACAGATGTTAGCTCCGGGCAACTCTTCCTCAGCAAAAAGAGCAAGACTGGCAACAGATGTTAGCACAGCGGGAATCTTCCTCACCCAAAAAAAAAATAAAATAAAATAAAAAATAAAAAAGTAATAAAAAAGACATTCTCCTACATAATTACAATGCAACCAACAAAATCAGAAAATTCACATTGATATATTACTACCAGCTAATTCTTAGACCCCATTCGAGTTTCACCAATTGTCCCAATAATGTCCTTTTAGCAAAAGGGTCCAGTTCAAAACCACATGCTGCATTTAGTTATCATGTCTCTACTTTCCTTCAACCTGGAACAGTTCTTCAATCTCTCCTCAGCTTTCCTGACCTTGACAATTTTGAAGATACACACCAGTTATCTTGTAGAATACCCCTCAAACTTTGTTTGTCTTATGTTTCCTCATGATTAAATTCAGCTAATGCATCTTTGCCAAGAATATCACACAAGTGATGTCCCCTACTGGGATAGTAACTTTGATCATTTGATTAAGGTGATATCTGCCAGGTTTCCTCAAAGTAAAATTACTCATTTTACCTTTGTAATTAATATTTTGTGGGGTGGTACTTTGAGACTACGTAAATATCCCATTCCTCATCAGACTTTCAATTTATTAGTTTACTTACTTATACCGGAATGGATTCATGGATCCCTATTTTAGTCAATGGGTTATAATCCATTATTATCATTGTTTATTTTGATATTGGGTATATCTTGTCAGATTTTTATATTTATGATAGAATTACTACAAATATCAATGTTATTTTCAGAGAGTTTTGTGTAATATTTAATTTGCAAAAGGCTTCTGCTGCTAAATGGATGCAAAAGCACTACTCTCTTTTACTTTTGAGATTTATAGTTATTTTCCTTTTCAGAAATCATAATAGATAGGATGGGATAAGAGTTGGAAGCTTTCTGATACAGTGCAGTGATTCAAAAATTTCTGAGTACACAGCACATATAGAAAAGGTATTTGTCAGGTGGGAAATGGCCCCAAGTTTCCAGCTGTCCCAGTCTTGTCCCAGCTACTCCATGGATTGAGGGGAATCAATATCTTGGCACACTTGTAATCCATTCTAGGCACATCTGTTAGGCAGCTCTGATTTGGTGGAAAGCAATAATTGTAATCAGAATACCTGAGTTAAAATCTTGGCTGTCTCTAAGTGACTCTAGACAAGAAAAGAGTATTTTAAGAATTTCTTTGAATGGATAATCATGCTCTGTCAATAACTGCTTGCAGGTTTGAGGCAAGTCATGTCACCTCTCTGGTGCTTTAGTTTTCTCCCAGAAATAACACTAAAAATATTTAACAACTGGTACATCAGGACACTGACCAATCAGAAGAGATACTGGCCACAGGGTGGGAAGCAAGGTCCTGAAAGTCCCTCTTAGCTTCTGGGTTTGAGGTGACGTCTAGGAGGCCCCAGGGAAGGGGGCAAAGCTGGAGGTTATTTATGGGGCTTGGTACAATAGTTATTTAACAAATAGTAGGATATATACTTGAATATTTTAATAATGGATATTGCCACACTGATGTGTGCTGGCTGAAAAATCAGCCCTACATAGTGTCAGACAAAAATTAACTAATCAGTATTAATGAATGAATAAATAAGAGCTTGACCAAGTGATAAAAGTCCCTCCTAGCTCTAATAATCCATAATTTTCATTCTATCAGTATTTAACTTTCATGAGCCTCATTTTCTTACCTACAAAACAGGGAAAATAAAAATACCAAGTCTTGCTATATTAGAGATTCATTTAAAGGAGGACATGAGGTAATTTGTGCAAATGTTCTCTGAAGAAAACAATCTGCTCCATTGGTGAGATGAAAGAGAAAGGTCAGAATGTTAAATAAACAAAAGCCATAGGTATTTAAGAAATTATGTAAGTTGCATCAACTCAAAAGCAAACTTATTAGCCACTGGCAGAAAATAAGGAAAAAATAAACAAAATTTTACACAGACTCACACAAACATAAATCAAGATACACTAACTACATTTTGAGATTAGACCATATATTCCATTTTTTCCCAAAATATTGTTTGCAAGAAATTATTTTAATTTGCCAGTAATTTTCAACTGCTTAATAAATGGAGCCTATACACAAAAAAAGAATTTATCCCAGTCAAGTTGCCCAGTAGTATATTGATTCATATATACATCCTATACCATCTAAAAATCTATCCAGTATTCTCCTCTATTAAATAAACACTAGCTCAAATGTGGATTAAAAGTATAAGCCCTCAGGGGGCCGGCCCTGTGGCATAGTGGTTAAGTGTGCACGCTCCGCTGCTGGTGGCCCGGGTTTGGATCCTGAGTGCGCTCTGACGCGATGCTTGCTGGGCCATGCTGTGGCGGAGTCCCACATGAAGTGGAGGAAGATGGGCACGGATGTTAGCTCAGGGCCAGTCTTCCTCAGCAAAAAGAGGAAGATTGGCATGGATGTTAGCTCAGGCGTGATCTTCCTCACAAAAAAAAAAAAGTATAAGTCCTCAGAACAAAATTGCAATTTACTCCTTTATATACGACTAGTCTGGCAAGCTAGCTAACTGAACATTTTAAATTCCCTTAAGTATCATTCTTACCTGGAAATTAGACTGAAATACACAGCAGTCAACACTTTTATAATGTCCCTTAAGCATAGTTATCTGTTGTCCTGAGTGAATTGTATAAACAGCAATGGTGCTACCATATGGTACAAAAACAAATTCTGAACTGCAGCCACAGGAGACAGTGAATTTCAATCCTTTTCTACTGTCATTATAAACTTTTCCATAGTTCACCTGTAGGATGTAAAATCATAAAGTTACTCACTTCTTAAATCTGAATTAAAAAGACAATAAAGACTGGAAGAAATATTTACTTAAAATATTATACTATAGAAAGAGCTCTATTAAATCTAAAGAATATGATCAATGTCCTAATAGAAACAAGAGCCAACGACATAAATGTACATTTCACATAAGAGGGAAATACAAATAGGAAAAAAAACCCCCACAAAAGCAAATGTTTACATTTCAACCTGGATAGAAATAAAACGCAAATTAAGGCAATCTTAAAGAATCATTTTAGATCAGTTAGCAAAAATCTGACAAAACCATAAGACACTGAATATTGGTACAAATGATGTAAACATGTTGGTGGCACTGAATCTGGTTATTCCTTATAAAACGCCAAATGGCTTATTATGCAACAAAATACAAAGACATTCTTTTGGGGGGAGGTGACTTTCTTTTTATTTTAAAACATTTTTAATTGTGGTAAATACACATAAAATTTGCCATCTCAACCATATTCAGAGTGTACAGTTCAGTGACATTAAGTACATTCACACTGTTGTGCAACCATCACCACCGTCCATCTCCAGAACTCTTTTCATCTTGCAAAACTGAAACTCTGTACCCATCAAACAACAGAGATATTCTTACCCCTTGACCTAGTAACTATTTCTGGGAATTTATCTTAGGGAAATAATTAAAAAGCAAAAAGCCATATGCCCAGAGAAATTCAATGCAGCATTATCTAGAATGGCAAAATAACTGATATAAATTTCTAATGATATTAACTCTCAGTTTATATAGCAATTAAAAATCACAATTATGAAAATTATGCAGAAAATAGAGATAAAAGCCAAGTATAAAAAAGCACAGAACACAAATACTGTGTATACTATAATTGCAGCTTTGTATAAATAATTACGTATTGGGGACAAAAATAAAAATTCTGCCCATGTACACCAAGATGCAAACCCGACCACATCAGCATCACCCAAGCTGTTAGAAACGCAGAATTCCAGGCCCTATCCCAATCCTAATGAACTAGAATCTTCATTTTCACAAGATCCCTAGGTGATCTGTAGGCTCATCAAAGTCTGAGAAGCTTTGGCTAAAGAAACTGACAGGTTTACTTCCTGTTGATAATTTACATGAGCAGCCCAGGGTAGGTGTAAAACCAATAGCTAATCATTTGGGAATTATCAGCTTGCAGATCACCAAAATCTCCTTTGACTATGGCTAATACTGGAGTTTAAACAGACAATGATTTGCCTTTTTCTCTTTTTTCTAAAGGTTGAGTATGAGTGCATATGTACATGTGTGTGTGTGTGTGGGTGTATATATATATATATAAATAAACACTGAGGCACAAATGGATATATGCTGATAATCTGTGGACACTACACTCAGCTTACTCACCCTTCAGGTTAACCTGTGACAGAACAGAGCACATGTACATGTATTCAGCTAGCCCACTGCAGCAGCAGTAGAGTGAAATATTAAAGCATTAAACTTACAGTCGGTAGACTTGGGTTTTTGAAACCCACTCCAACCCTTCCCCTTTGTCTTGCCTCTTACAAGTAATGAATGATTTAACCTCTGAGTTTCATTATTCTAATCTGCTAAATAGAAATAACATCATTTACCAGAGTTATTGTGAAAAATCAAATGAAATAATGCATATGAGAGCACCTAGGACATAAAGGTATTGAGTAAGTCCCTAGATTTGTTCATTCCTATATATATTTAAAAGTATAATGAGAATGACATCAGCATCATGGCAGAGTGAGTTGTTTCCTTTGTCTCTCCCCTCTAAGTTACAATTAAATGGACATTCATTAACCAACAGAGGATTCCCTACACAGCACAACAGGATGCCTGAGAGATCCATGCAGCCACACATCTGAAGGTGGGGGGACTTGATCCCTGGGAAGCAGTGGAAATAAGTGAGCAGACCTCTCCCCCTCCCTGGCAGCAGTGATCCAGGTCCTGGATCCTCACACAGCAGCCTGTGACTGTAAGTGGGGGCAGGGGCAGCCCAGTCCGCACGCAAACAATTTCATAGTAGTAGGCTGGCCCGTGGTAGTGCCCACTGTGCCGTGGAGGCCCCACCCGTGGGACTGCTCCCCAATGAGTGGCAGCACTTCAGCCCCCACTAAAGCACCCTGCCCACCAAGTGCAGCAGCTCAGCCAAACCACCTGCAAGTGCAGCACTGGACTGCGCAAGAGCGACCCACCAAGCAGAGGCCCCGTCTGCAGTGAGTGACCCGCCTGCTGAGCGCAGAGGCCCCACCCCGGTGAGCACAACCTGCTGAGCTGCTGTGGCCAGCCCACACAAACACAGAGGGGCCCTATGGGCACAACTACCAGCAGACAGGGCAGGATCAGAAAACATATCTCCTGCCCTCCCACCCCCAGTGGTGGCAGGTGGAATCTGCGACCTGATACTATCAGAAATGCACCAGCAAACGATCAATTCATCAAACACCATGAAGAAATACAGTAACACTTCAGAGCAGAAGGAAAATGACAAGTCTCCAGGAACCAATCCTGAAATAACAGAAGTTTACAATCTAAATGACGGAGAATTCAAAATAGCTGTCATAAAGAAACTCAACAAGTTACAAGAAAACTCAGAAAGACAGTTCAATGAGCTCAGGAATAAAATTAATGAGCAGAAAGAATACTTCACCAAAGAGATTAAAACCCTTAAAAAAAAACTATACAGAAATTCTAGCTACAAAGAACACGATTAATGAGATAAAAAATAATCTAGAAACCATAAAAAGTAGAGCTGATATTACAGAGGACAGAATTAGTTAATAAGAGAATAGAAATATAGAAATGCTTCAGGTGGAGGAGGAGAGAGAACTAAGATTTTAAAAAAATGAGGAAATTCTTGGAGAAATATCTGACTCAAGTAGGAAAAGCAACATAAGGATTATAGGTTTTCCAGAGGGAGAAGGGAGGGAGAAAGGAGCAGAGAGCTTAGAACTAATAGCTGAGAGCTTAGAAATAATAGCTGAGAACTTCCTAAACCTGGGGAAGGAATGGACTTAGAAGTACATGAAGCCAACAGGACTCCTAATTACATCAATGCAAAAAGAACTTCTCCAAGGCATATAATAGCAAACCTGGCGAAAGTCAATGACAAAGAAAAAATATTAAGGGCAGCAAGGCAGAAGGAAATAAACTACAAAGGAACCCCCATCAGGCTTTCAGTGTATTTCTCAGCAGAAACCTTACAGGCTAGGAGAGAATGGAATGATACATTCAAAATACCAAAAAACAAAAACTTTCAGCCAAGAATACTCTATCCAGCGAAACTATCCTTCACATATGATGGAGAAATAAAAGCTTTCCCAGATAAACAAAAGCTGAGGGAGTTTATCGCCACTAGACCTGCCTTAGAAGACATGAGGAAGGAAGCCCTCCTACCAGAAACAAAAAGGCAAAGGTTTACAAAGCTTTGAGCAAGGAGATAAATAGACAGAGAAAAATCAGAAAATTGCAGCTCTCTATCAGAACAGGTTAGCAAACAATTATAACATAAAAGATAAAAGGAAGGAAAGCATCAAAAATAACTCTAAACACTTCAATTTAGTCACAAACTCACAACACAAAAAAGAATTGTGACAACAGTAACTCAGAAGGGGAAGAGAAAAGGAATGGAACCTGCTTAGGCTAATGGAGACAAGAGGCTATCAGAAAAGGGATTATCTCATATATGAGATATTTTATACAAACCTCATGGTACCACTAAACAAAAAAACCAGAGCACAGCCACAAATCATAAATAAAGAGAAAACTGAGAATCACAGAAAACCACCTAACTGAAATGGCAGTCAGAAAAAATACAAGGGAAAAGAAACAATGGAAATATAGAACACCAGCAAAACAAGAGATAAAATGGCAGTATTAAGCCATCATATATCAATAATCACTCTAAATATAAATGGATTGAATTCTCCCAACAAAAGACACAGAGTGGCTGGATGGATTAAAAAACAAGACCCAACGATATGCTGCCTCCAGGAAACTCATCTCAGCTCTAAAGACAAACATAGGCTTAGACTGAAGGGATGGAAGATGATACCCCAAGAAAAGAGCAAGCAAAAGAAAGCAGGTGTTGCCATATTTATATCAGACAAAGAAGCCGTCGAGATAAAAAAAAACAATGACAGACAAAGAGAAGCCGTATATAAGGCTAAAAGGGACATACCACCAAGAGGACATAACACTTAGGAATATATATGCAAAGGAACACCAAAGTATATAAAGCAACTATTAACAGAGACGTAGAGGGAGAAATTGACAGCAACACAATCAGAGTAGGGGAACGCAACACCCCACTTACATCAATGGATAGATCATCCAGACAGTCAATAAGGAAACAGTGGTCTTAAATGAAACACTAGACCAGAGAGACTTAATAGATATATATAGAACATTCCATCCAAAACAGCAGAATACAAATCTTCTCAAGTGCACATGGAACATTCTCAAAGACAGATCATATGCTGGGAAACAAGACAAGCCTCAATAAATTTAAGAAGATCAAAATCACATTGGGCATCTTTTCCGACCACAATGCTATAAAACTAGAAAGCAACCACCAGAAAAAAGCTGAGAAAGGCAAAAATATGTGGAAACTAAACAACATGCTACTGAACAACCACTGGATCAATGAAGAAATCAAAGGAGAAATCAAAAAACACCTGGAGATAAATGAAAATGAAAACACAACATACCAACACTTACGCAATGCAGCAAAAGCCATACTAAGAGGAAAATTTATAGCAATAGAGGTATACCTCAACAAACAAGAAAAATCTCAAATAAGTAATCTTAAACTACACCTAACAGGACTAGAAAAAGAAGAACAAACAAATCCCAGTCATCAGAAGGAGGGAAATAATAAAAATCAGAGCAGAAATAAATGAAATAGAGACTAAAAAAACAATAGAAAGGATCAATGAAACTAAGAACTGGTTCTTTGAGAAGATGAA